GTGACAGGCCAAAGTGAAAGATGTGATACTACAATTAAATTGCGACAATGTAAAAACGTGAATATATCTCTAACAAGTCTAACAATTTTAAAGTCACCGTGAAAAAAATAAAACCGACTCAACCAAATTGGTACTGTTAATATTGGTTGGGTTTTGTTAAAGACTCGCTCACAAGTCAGAGTAATTCTAATAACATAATATATAATTGTAGAGTGAATCTATATTGTGAGAACTGATCATGTTTATTTCATTGACACATGGTGTAAAGATTTGCAATGTTGATCCAGCTGTTTTGCAAGAGTCATAACATTTGAGATGACATTTATAGAATATATGGGGGCGACATATTAGTTATATATGTATATATATGACGTACACACATATTTTATTATAACATTCTTATTTTCTGTTTTCTCAACTTTTCAGTCATGTGTGGAAAGAAATTTATAATCACCTTTCAGAGCAACAAATGAACTAAACGCCAGATTTTATTGCTCTTAGACCGTTGATTATAGGAATAAATTGTAAATGAAAAAGGTGTCTTAACTATTTTCATAACATATAACAAATAACAAATATTATACCTCACATCCTATCTATATTTTACATGATGCAACATATCATGTATGGTATTTTATGTCAGTGCAGTTTTTGGAGAAATGTAATTGTACTTACTGGTGAACACGCCGACGTCAATGGGAGCCCCCACCCCCACCACCACCACCGAATTTTTGAATTCGCCAGTGGTGAGACAAATACAGAATAAGATGTTTTTAACAAAAACGTGTACCACGTTGTTTAACGCCCACTGCAAATATACAAATATAATCTATACATTCACAAATGTGTTCACCAAAAAGTTTAAAATATTTCACTTATTGTTGATGTACCTATTCCCGGTGGTCTTGATTGATGTTTTACGTATATTATGATTTAATAATAACTATATGTTTTCACTATACTAATAATTAATTCGTTTGTTAGAGTTAATAGAGTATTTCTGGTCATCTCTGTTCTGTAATGTTTTAATCTGCACAGCACATTCACAATAGAAGATCACTAATTAATTAAACGTTACTATAACAATGTTAGCATGTGCCTATGATAACAATATCGTTGGGTTGTTACCGTGTCTAGTCACATGGCGTTAAAGTTAATATATGTATACAACAAGTAACCTGTAGAATGCTGTGTGAGTAATATTTTTATATTGATTTGTGTTGCATTTGCAGCAAATAGTTACCAAACAATGAGA